AAATGGAAGATGCCTATCTCTGGCACAGTGAAGCAGTACTAAGTTCTGGTTTTCATAGGTAAAACTTCTTTATTTTATAGAGGTTTGAACCATTAACAAACAAGTATAAATTTCATCTACAATGTGGAAGTAAATAATTTTAGAAACTTGGAATCATTTTGAGAAGGAGAAGAAAACAATTAGACACATTTCCACAATGTACCTCATTGTATCCTAACAGCTACTCTCCAAGGCACTTGTTGTTATTCTCAATTTATAAATAAGGTGCCTGAAACTCAGGGAGATTATAAATTCAGCCAAATTAGAACATTAAAGTAGAAGAGTGTGCACTAGAAGCCAGGTTTATCTTATTAAATTATCACATGCACAGTCATCTATCTATTTGTTCAACTGGTTCCAGGCCACAAGCAAATAGAATTAGTTTCCTTTGAAGGGAGTTGAGAAGTTGCTCCATGAGAAAACAGTAAACAGTACAATCAGCTTTGTTTTCAACATAAATTCTGTCCTGACATAAATCCTCAGTGGTTTCCCTCCAACAAAAGACATCAGTCGATGTAGGCCCAACCTCTGTCTCTCATCTAATCTCATCCATTCTTTCTCCTACTCATTCACCTCAACCACCTTATCCTTCTGATCATTCCCTGAACATACCAAGTTATTGACCTCAGGGACTTGGCACTTCTGGTTCTTTTTAGCATTTCTCCATTTGCACGACCCCTTTACTCTCTGCACTCCTCAGCTTCACCTTTCATTTTTCACTTCCTCAAAGACACTTTCCATAATGACTTCATCCAAGGTAAGCTCTTCCCTTCATCTTTGAAGCTTTTCATTTTCTTCTTTTTAGCATGTATCATATTTGATTAAATTATTCACTTATTTGCTTGCTTTTTAGTTTCATGCCTACACCCACACTTTTCTAGGCTAACCTGCCGTGGACAAAAAAAATATACACTTACATTTTGACTGGAGACCTTGCAAAAAACATCCATTCAACAACTTGATAATTGGGGGAAGGGAAAGAGAGAGAAAAGGACGAGGTTGAGGCTGTAGTCTGAAAAGAGGGAGGAGTATAGGTTTTCCAAAAACTTGTTTTAAGAACTTAACAAGAGATAATGGTGAGGGAGGGAAAATCACTTAAACTTGTGCCTGCTACACAGTACACAGTGATTGATGTCACTCTTCCATCAAAAGTGACCTACTCCAGACAAAATTTATTCCAAGAGTTGAAAACATGCAGTTTTACGTACCTATTTCAAAGGCCTCTGCATCATAGCCTTTTCTACCCCAAATTCCACCTCTTTGATCCAAGTTGAAAGCATTTTTATTCCCCAAATTCCCTAATCATTTGTCTTTTTTTTTCCCTGAGCTGACAGCAAAACCTTCTCCTGGGAGCCTGACAACAGCTGAGCAGCAGCTGGATAGGCTCATGGTCATGCCCCTCCAGTAATCAGGAATGGACAAGGGAGAGAGTAAAGGACAGAGCATGGTTCTGGTATTATGCTGCCCCAAGTAGCTGTATTGATTGGTGCATTGGCTCAATTTGTCAGTGATGGTCAAAACCTCACCTGGTCTCCCACTAGCTGTGTAACTTAAGTAACTGAGCTATTATTCAAAGGAGCCCAGGTCACACTGTTATTCTGTTCCTCAGTTTCTTCATCTATGAAAAGATGAATCACCTCCCTAGAGGGCTATTTTGAGGAAGAAATAAAATCATTGTAAAGAACTGAATACATCCTGGCACAGAATAAACACAACTCTTTTCACTATCATTCTTTCGTGTGTGTCAGAGTGAAATGTTATTATCTGATGAAGATCCATTCATCTATGAACAAATGAATTAGTGTCATAGTTAACACTAAAGAGTTAACATTTTTAGGGGTTGACTCTTCTTGTCTGGGAAAGTGTTCTTTCTGGATTTCTTTTTCTTTCTTTTTTTATAAGGCAAAATATGATGTTTTAAAGGGAGAATGGAAAATAAAGTTAGCAAATCCAGTAAGAGAAAATTCTTGATCCTTAAAATCCTGGCTAAACCCTCGGAACTTCGCTTCAGTGCAAACCTTGTCATGCAGGACATGACTGTGCAAGAAAGAGTGACAGAAAAAAAACTAGGAGAAGAGCATAAGATGAGAGGAACTATTGTGGGAAATTATTTTAAGGAGGGTTAGACAAAAGAGAATATCCTGGATTCTCTTTTGAGGATTCCAAAAAAGAAATAGGCCCAGGATAACTAACAAAAATCAGTCACTTCTCATGGGCGAGACAGTATTCCAAGTGCTTTATGACCTTTAAATTCATTCTAATGCTTCTGGCTACCTTATGAAATCAGTAACTTTATTTATCTTCTCTTTATACATAAGTAAATGGAGGCAGGAAGAGGTAAAGTAGTTTTCCCAAGATCACAAACTTGAAATGAAATCCTTCAATTAAAGGCTCAATATAAATGCAGGGTGGCAGGTATAAGACTGATTTAGAATTGGAAGTGGGGGAATAAAAATACCCAGGATAAAGATGGGCTCTGAGTTTATGTGATTACAATGACGTTATTGAGGACTTAAATTTCAAAAACTAGTGTCATTTATGAAAGTATTTTTAAAACTCTGTTCTCTATTTCATCCACTCCAGTAAAGAAATATTCAGACTGTCCTAGAGAATAAGTCATAGAAGGAATGCATCAATGACTTCTTTTGTTTGGATAAAAAGGAGTTTCAAGCTTGAGAATGTAACTTTTCTATCACAGTTGTAATAATATTTTGTTACTCAAGCCTGCTTGTCTTTTCCTTCTTGCCCCACCAACTACATTTCAGTGATTAAGAAGGGCATAAAAACGATAAAAGAAAAATAGACTTGGTTTAGGCACTGACCACAAATGGTAGCTTAACAAATCCTTGCTCAGTTGGACTGCAGCCAGGAAATTCAGTTAATAACCATCACTTTTCTAACCTTCTTCAAGTGCAAGTGCGCAGCAATTCTTCAGTGGAACAAGTAGTAAGAAAATGCAAAGTATTCTGGCATTTGAAAAAGTTCAGCCATTTAGATTTAATTACGTACATAACTGGTGTCCTCCCATGTGTGAAAACACTGAAGCCAATAAAAAAAATAAAATAATATCTGAGAAAAACAAGTTTACATAGACATGTGAATAATAAAAATTCACTGACTTGTCTCTAGTATTTTCACTCAGAAATGTTCTTACAAACAATAGCAAATGTCTGCTTTTTGAATCCTGTCTTGTTTTGAAGACTTAGGTCAGTCATTTTCCCTAAAGGGGAATTCTTGTGCAATGACTTTTAGGTGGACAGGTTTCAAACATCTTGCTGTTTTAAGTGACCACTACGCTGGTGTTTGCAAGATGTCCAGGAGCATCCTGTTCATCTAGTTTGATCTCTTAAATGCTTACTATCTATTAAATGAGGCTCCAAGTGTTAGGGGGAAAAACCATTTCACATTGAATCTCCCTCAAAACACACTCAAGAGAAACTCTGCAAACTCCTGCAAAGCCATTTTTCTAAAGAGATGTTCAGCCTATCAAAAATGTCCTCAGAACAGATTACAAGAACAATAATAGACTTCTCCCCAATAACAGTAACAGGGTCCAATTTTGATCTTCATGTGTTTTCCAATGTAATTATGTTGAACTGTAATTTCCTGTGAATGCAAGTGGGGGAAACTGGAGTTTTGTCATCTGGGGCATAACCTTGCCAAGTGTTCATTATTTGACAATGGAATCACTTCATTTTCAAAGTTCCCACTTGTAATAAAATTGAATGGAGGGAAAAAAAAAAACCCCAACATTTTCTGAAAACAAACTTTGTGAAATAATTTCTTGATAAACTCTGTAGCTCTGCTTAGCTGTGTTAAAGGCACAATCTAATCTCTGCTGACACTTTTCTGAGGAAAAGGGCCAGTCAGCTGAACAAATTTCACATCTGTTGTTTGTATGAAAATGAAAATGTAGCAGACCTAAGGGTTTCAAAACTACCCACAGTTTCAAGTGGGGAAATGAATAAGTAGTAGGGAAGACTTTTCCTTTCTCATTAAATTTTAACGTTCTTGGGTTTTCATTGGTTCATTCAGAAACAAAAATGGCTCTCTCTCTCTGGCATTGTGACAGATCTTATCTTGCTTTCTGCATCACGCTTAAATCTCATTTTAGAGAGATTTTGGCTAGAACATTTTTTTTTTAAGTTTGGCATTTTATTCTGGAGTTCTTTTATCCATTATTTGAGAGTTCTTCAAGAAGTCTCATTTAACAATGAGAAAGAGGAAAAGTTTAGAGGCAATTTCACCCCGAATTTCTTAACTCTCTTGTAATGATGGATTTTGAAGTGTAGATCTGGATCTTGCTCTTATTTCTGAAAATATTTTCTGCTTTTGTTTGTGTAAATGTTTATAAGTTAATAATTCTATGTCTTTATCCAATAACAACAATCTTGTATGAAGAATTAAGTATGAATGTTTTCTTTCCCAAAATGTGCTATAGATGATTGGGAGTCCCTCTGAGCTTTTTAGAAATATTAGTTTTAGGTCATTTGATGTTGACACTAATTATGTATCTAAAAAGGTCATGTTATTTAAGCATGCTTTGCATTTCTCCTCTACCCCCCTCTATTTCTCACTTACGTATTTCTTTACTTGAACTAGTTTACTTTACTAGTTTCTCTAGTTAAATATTTGCCTCATAGGCCAACAACCCTCCACTCCCAGGCTATACCCAAGTTAATTGAACTGTTTAATAAAATTCATTATGTCCTGTCACAAAACCTTTCACGCAAAAAAGAATTCCTTCCACTTGCAAAATTTTAGGAAATAGATTAGTAAAAAGTTGTCTGATTACAGCTGTTAGTGCAAGAAACAAAGCCCGGACCTGTATTTTGCAAGCCTTTTATTTCCATATTTCCAAAGAGCTTTCTGCACAATTTTTCATAAATGGATATTTTATGCTTTACATAAATACAATTTTCATAAATTGGAGGCAAGCAGCAAGAATAAATTTTACTAACCTTAGTGTGTTCAGTCTTGATGTTGGTGAGTGGGACAGGTAGGTCTGGCAAGCCTGAGGACGACATCTCTGATAGGACTCCTGGAATACAGGTGACAGGCTCAGTGATTTGGTTCAGCTTGCTAGAGCTCTTGGCTCTATTTGTTCCTTTTTATCTGAACGGGCTAAGGTTGATTTGCATACGGAGATATGATTGGATGAACAAACTTGGAGCCCTAAGAAAAGGACACTACTTATTTGTAACACCTAGGGCAGGAAGTCTTTGACTTTAAACTTAAATCCTTAAGAAACCATCGCTCTCCCAGCACTGAAGCTGCACCTGGACACAGTGCACTATTTGCAGAGGAATTAGTTCACAAAGCTGAAATCTGCGCTGAGGGTCGACAGCACAGCTGCTCTGGCCTCCAAAGCTGGTATTACTAGTATTATTATTTTGTATTTTTGTGTTATTATGGAACTTTTCATTCTCTAACATTTTAGAATTAGAGATTAAAAATTAGGATTAAAAATGACTCTTACAGGGTAACTGTTCTCAAGAAAAGCTGATGAAGACAGGACATTTACTATCCTGTTGTTTGGGAAAGAAAGTTCATGATGCAAATCAGATTTTTTTTTAAAAAATCTATGTAATGTTTTTACAATACTTGATAAGCAGACTTTCTGTGATTTCAGGACCTATGAAATGTTATTTTTAGTCTGTATCTTACTTAGTAATATAAAGTCAGTAGGGTACTTGAGAGGATTCCACAGTATTCTGCCATATACAACCTCGCACAGCATTAGGCCTGTTACATCTCAATTTCACAGAATTCATCTGTATTTACCAGAATTTCTACAAGCAATTGTACAGAAAATGTTAAGTAAGAACCTCAAAAGAATAAAATACTTAGAAAGAATATTGCAAGTTGAGAGCATTATAAAAAAGGTAACTTTTAACAGTATTATGCCCTTTTTAAGGTACAATGCTTTATTGTATTAAAATTGGTAAAAGTTACAAGGGAAACAATATTACAAAATAAAGAAAACTCCTTTGAATACTTGCAACTTTGTTAAGAATGTTTTTGTGGTTATTTTGTACCTTGGGTCCACCTACTTATAGCTTGCTGACCCTTCAGTGGGTTTTCAGAAGTAGGAAATCTCATAGGACTGGATTGATCATCTGTCGGACCTGAGCAGCTGGCAGATTTGAACAGGGTGCCGTAGGGTTGACAATTCCTTACCACTAGGCTCCCAGAAGTTCCTTTGTTAAGAATAGTTTTTCATTTTGTTTTTTTCAATGAAAATTGGCAACTCTTTTTGAGTAGTAGATTTAGATAAGGGAATTAACATTTATTGAATAGATACTAAAAGCAAGTGTAGAAACATGCCTTTTCTGCCTACATGAATACGGAATCCCTAGTTTAAAGATACGAAGACAGTAAGGAGGTTACTCATTGTCGTAGCATTAATAAGCACACAATTGGAATTTGATCTCAAGACAACCGAACTTCAAAATTCTATTTCTTATTTCTATTTATTGTCTCTTCCCTATTATCCAGTATATAATTCTTAAATGTATCTAAGAAATTGCTGCTTCGATTCTCTGGGTCAACAGACCCCACTCACAAATATTCCAGCTTAATCTATCATTCATCTAACACAGGAACTTGCAATGTTTTTCTGTATATGAATAAATAATAAATGTTTTGACCTCTGTTGCAATTAATGGACTCTATAATAACTGTAGTGTGAATATATTTATAGATAACAGGTATAAAAAGATCAAGGGTCACTTTCAGATGACTGTACCTGACCTTTACCAATTCCACGACATCAACAACACAAAACCAGTTCCACAAGGTCAAACATGTCTCCATACTTCCAAACCTCTAGCCCAGCAACAATCTTACTGTTTGACTAGGTCTAAATTCCATTGCAGTAGCTCACAGACCACAGAGAACTGAATTAGGGAAGTCAATCATGTGCTTGTAATTCAGGTTGGTAGCAACATACAATCACTCAGTCAGGGCAGCTTCTAAAATGTGCTCACAAGCACCTTAGCCTTGAGCCTTGCTGCTTTAGGCCAGTTTTATGGAACTCTTTCAGTCTTGACAATTATGGCTCTTGTCTTTCCTAGTCATTTAACAAACTTGGGCAAAGGCTCCTAGTTCTGGTTCCATGAGGTAGCATTTCCAAGGTCAATTCCATCTTACTTCAGATCTCTGATTCTTTACTTCAGCTGCTATGATTGCTACTCTGATAGGCCCTGATCTGGCTAGTGCATGAATCTCTGGCCCTGAAGGGCACACTGAATTCTCTTGTTTCATCTTTGCTGGTGAGAATTGAGAGTCTTCAATTCTGCTGCTTGATTTGCTCAATTTAATGGCAAGAGAAGCCAATTCCCTTATAGATTGGCTAGGCATGCCCTATTCATATCCCACCCATTCACATGATGAAGTCAGTTAATGGATAGGGAAGCCATTTTGAACTATAAACCCTTTATATCACAGTAGGTACATGCATAGGTGTAGATACATTCTGATAAAAACCAATTTGAAAAAGTAGATTTTAGGTCAGATTTTCTCACAGCCTGTAGCTGGTTAAGTCCCTATATACTAAGGAAATATATTGTCTAAAACTGTCTTCATTCTTCTAGTATCATGCTTGGAGCCCAATTAGAAATGTCTGTGTTTTTTCTACTTTTGTTCTCTCTTCTCTTCAGAACATTCTGATTGTTTTCCTAATCAAAAGTGTGATCTCATTTCAGGGATTATGTTTTATTTAAGGTATACACATTATTTCATGACTATAGTTTCACAATTTTGCACAACTTTTACAGCTCCAGAATGTATGGAGTTAATGAGAATTTACAGTTCTTTTCTGCATATTCCCCATTTGAACAGGATTCTTCTATGGACTCTTGGAGAGAAATACTCAGCAATGGTAGCCAGGAACTCACTGACAAGAAGGCAGTGGTTCATGGATACAATGATTCCTTTTCTTCCTCCTGTTCCTGATACTCTCGGTCCTTCCAAGTGAATTCGTGGTGTTGGTGTGTGTCATTGAATCGGAACCAACTCATAGCTGCTTGCTCCAGGGGGACTATCTTGACTTCTCGTTAGCTTTTAAGACCCCAGGCCATATGTAGTGAAGTAGGAAGTAGAGCAGAAGCATAAACGTGTTTTTAGGCCAGTTAACTGAGATGTCTTATAAAACCATGATCGTAAAATTGCAAACCAAGAAAATAAACACTATGTTTGATTGTACAAAAGTAGCCCTAGCAACTACATTTTGTTGTTGTTATAGTGGTAAATTTATCTATTACACAATGTTTGCCATTTCAAATTTTTGCAGATATACAGTTTTTGATAGAATAATCAGTTGTGCAAGACTTAATGTGAATTTTTTTTCCATCTCTCTTAACTCTTTCCCCCCATTCCCTTGCCTCTGGTGACTACAAAGAAATACTGATGTCTTTACATTTACATATGCTCTTTATGATCCTTTTATAATAGTCAAGTCATAATATCCTTTTTTTTAAATTTTCTTGTTTTACTTTGCAAAATATTGAGTTAAATGTAAAATTACACAACAGCTGTTACATAACTTGCAGGTTGGTGCTCCAGCCATGTGCAGACAGCTGTGTTTTTGAAGCTTTCTTCTTGTTCCAGCTTCATTCATACGTTCAAACACTGATTTTTCTTTATTGATGCTCACACAGTGAACCTCAAGACTCTATAGTACAAATGGCATATCACAAGGCTCCTGTATGCTCATCCTTGATTGCATTTCATGGGGTAATTACGTAAGAACAGTCCCCTTTATACCAGGCATTACTGAATGTGTGCAGAAGGAACAGCATCAAAGAAATGCTACCACGCCTGCCCAATTTATTCAAACAAATATTTACTAAGCATGTTTTATTGTAAAGCATTGTGACTGGAGGACTGATAGTTCTCCAACTTTAACCCTACTTGAAAAGCATGCTTTTCTGTCCCAAACCCACAGGGCCTCCTGAGATTTTATTTTTGAAGTAAACATCACCTTGTCTCTGTTCTATCATCCTGTTCATGAAAGGTGAGGTAAGCATCACTACCATGAACCTTATTCATGAAAGAATATATACCTAGGAAGGGTTCTATGAAGTAAAATAACTCCCTTTCTTTATATAGGGAAATATGTCTTGATGAGAGTACAAAGGCCAAAGAAACACATTTCAAGATTAGATCTAGAGTTGTATATTTTAATGGTGTTCCCAGGTTATCCAGAAATAAAGGGATTGGCACTTGAACTTGAGATAACAGGTAGGGTACAAATGGCTGCTACAAATAACTGCTCACTGAATGGTTGGAGGTTGGTGTCCCCCTAGAGGCACCTTGAAATAAAGACTTGATGATGATCTTCTAAAAGTCAGTCGTTGAAAACTCTCTGGAGCACAGTTCTGCCTTGACACGCATGGGATTGACATGAGTTAGAAGGGACTTGATGCAGATGGTGAAGTGAAAGTATTGGTGAAGAAATATTGATTTTGGTGAAAAGGGGAAGGAGTGCTGAATCTTTCTTCTTTAAGACAAGTGAGATTGCGTAAGTGTGTGAGTTTACATGTACTTGTGTGCAATAAATAAGCTCTCACACACTGACACATATATGTGTATATTTAAACATATATGTGTATGCAAATATATATACTTAGATATATGTATATATATGTCTATCCATCAATCTTTTGACACACATATACATAAACATTTGTACACGGAGATATGAGTCACAGAATGTTCAGGATGTGCAAACACTGTATTCTATATAAATACTTATGTTTGTATTCATTTAATGGCTACATAACTCCCTTATTTATAAAGTTTTCTGTCTCTCCTTAAAATCTTAGAGTCTCTCGGTACACGACATTCTTTGAGAATCATCCAAAATCCTGTTGAGAATTGAAAGCCCAGAATAGCCTCAGCCCAGCCTCTTTTAAGAGATTGATTCACCAAACTACTGGACAGGGACTCACCAATAGACAGCACCAGAGACAACGTAGGTTCAGCTGCTGCCCTGATTAAGGACCTGCAGTCCTTGTTGTAGCTCAAGGGTTGTCCAGAGCTGTAGGTTGGAGCTGAGTCGGGGCAGTGGTAGAAGTCAAGTCTTGGTACCAAAAACACAGCCACTTCCCCTACTGTAGACCTTTTGAAACAGTGCCTCCTCCGGGCCCAACTAGTATACATGGGTCAGATGTGGCCTAGTCTGTTGTGTGTGTTGTATCCTTATCTAAATATTTACACACAGAGACAGGTTGAAAGAGAAAAGAAAATAGTTTATCCATCTCCTGGATCTGGGAAGATTTCCAGCCATTTGATTGTGAGCCATGATTATATCAAGAAACATGCAGACTAT